TGTTAACTGCTAGTTTAAAGATTTTTGGATCAATGCAAAATGGAACAGAGTCCTTAAAATGTTTGGCATAGAATCTGAAGGATCTATTTTTGCACATTTCGCATGAGCCAAGGCTTGGCTCGTACTCACCGCACTATAAATAAGCCAGAGAGAGAGAGAGATAGAGAGAGAGAGAGAGAGAGAGAGAGAGAGAGAGAGAGAGAGAGAGAGAGAGCAAATAGCCCAAGGCAAGGTCGTTAACGGGTTTTGTTTCGCTACGTCTATAAGAAAGCGAAACCAATGAAAACTGAATGCGGAAATGGTTTGAGGCACAAGTGTACACGAGAAGGCTCTCATAGATAAGCAAAGGTAAGAACACAGGCGTCTCTTTTTTTTTGTTCTTTTTTCGTCTATCGTGATCGTCGATCTTCTGAGTAAGATGATAAAAAAGAAGAATGAAAAAAAAGAACACGAACAGAATCGCTTTTAATTATTACCTATGAGAGTATCGCAAGATTCGGTTTCTACGAGAATGCTGGGACATGTATTGTGCGAACGCTTGAGCAAAACAAACAACAAGAAAAAGTGCGCTGACCGACTAGGCGGTACCCTGTGCCCCTTAGGAAATAAAATAAGAGCTTTATCGGTGAAACATGCTCGAAAAAGGAGCGAAAAATTTTAAAAGAACGGGAAGAGTTTTCAATCAACTCAGCTCGTAGTCCTGATCGACATGAACTAGGCACGATTTTAACTTTTGTCTGCCTAAAACATTGGCACTAACTTATGCTACCCTATTGAGTGGGCACAGGGTATAAAAACAAAGTCCAAGTCAATGTGCCATTGTTGCCATGTTCGCGATCTTTGCGGTTGTCGTTGTTGATGTCGTTGTTGTTGTTGTTGTTGTTGTTGTTGTTGTTGTTGTTGTTGTTGTTGTTGTTGCCTAGATTGCTGAATCAGTTCATAATGATTAAGAACTTTTTTTCTTACTTAATAGAGTTTAGCGCCTAGTGAAATTCTGGGTCAGTGGAATAAGAAACGAGAAGAAAAAAAGCAGAAATATGCCAACAAAAAATCATAATAATGAGTAACAAAGTGAAAGCACATCAAAATCAAATATGTTGTCAGCTTGGCATCAAAAAAATAAAGGCAAGAACAAGCGCAATATGTCTTTAAGTTTCGGACAGCTGAGCTGTTCCCCAACAGTTGTTGAGCAGTTCATTTATGTGCTTGTTACATATTTATATGTATATGTTCCATTTTATCAGCAGCAAAATATACTGTCACCATTCTACATTAATTTAGAACATGTGTAGCTACACAAGTTCGTGTGGGTGTACCCAGGAATTCCATTGAAACATATAACATCCCGATTGGGTCTATAACATTTCATTAGCGCTATGTTGTGTGTTTGGTATCAATGCCACATCAATCTCTCAATTGACTTCAGGCTATCAAACGTTATAAATGTGAAAAACATGTAGATGATGGTTGGTTGGATGGATGGAACGAGGGGGGGGGGGGGGGGGGCAATCTGATTAGAATTTCATACTGATGTACTGACTAATTGGCATTCAACGTGAAGCCCAACTGAAGAATTGGCAAATTCCACGCACTAGAGTGGATGATGAGCGGAAAACTGTTGCATAATACAGCTTAGCCACGTTTATCCGCGATGCTCGGCATCGAGCTCATTACGGCTTATCGAAATTCTCGATTTAATGAGCCCACAAATTTATACATTCAAAAAATGTTATTACTTTTATTTACTGTAAACAGGAACACATGTTTCTACAACTATAAATACATATCCGAATATAAACAGATATCTAATTTTATTCCAAAAAATGTAGTCCGGCTGTGTTTGATTCGATACATTTGGTAATAAAATTATGATTACCTCTATTATCCAAAGAGAAAGCTTACGGATAATTGACGTAAATCAAGGTTAATAGAGCTAAATAATCAATCTGTCAGTTTCTTAACAAAGTGTCGGATAATCGAGGCTCAACAAGGGTATTCGATTGATTGAATCAAAGACTGATAATTCAGATTCAAGAAAAACCCTGAGATTTATCTATGCATTCCATTTATAGATATGAATGTGTATAGTTTTTTAAGATCAGGGTTCCCATATAAATGTAAATTCGTATGTTGATGAAAAACAAACACGCACACCACGGAAGCCCCTTCCCCTCCCCCCTTCAATGCCCCACAGCCAAACAAGCCATGCATCAGAGCACAAAATCCACATTGCCTAACCTAACCTATAAACGCAAGCCAAAAGAGAGCATGCGAACCAATACACACGTACGATTCGCTACTTGAGAATGTATTTGTGATCGGCAACAGCAGCTTTTGTTATTGTTCTGAATGTTGAATTTATTCTTAATGCATTGTTGCTCTCGCTCTCTTTCTTCCTCTCTCACTCTCTCTAACTAACTTACAAACATTGCTGTGTTTGTTCAAAAGCACGAAGTTGGCTGTGCGACAAATCGTCGAGAACTTGAAGATGTCATCGCATTTACCGTAATGCCAGCTTTCGCAGGCAGTATATGTACATATGCATGTTTATGTATTCGCTAAGAGCTATCGGCGTCAACGGCGGCGTCACAGCATCCGTCAGCGCCAGTGTCGCTGACGGCGGAAGTGCACAAACGTGCAGAGGAGGAAGCGTAAGACACGAGGCCGCCGCCACCGCTGATAGAGAAGCACGGGCCAAAAATGTATTTTAATAAGCGAGAGATACAACAAATCTGCCATTAGTGCGAAAGAGAGACCGCGCAATTTGTGCTTATCAGCGCTGATCGGATTGCGCGTGAGGGAGTGAGAGGGGAAGAGAGGGCCAGAGAAAGCCCCACACAAGTTTTGTTGTTCGGTATTACGAAACACATACGTACATATTTACTCACCTCTTTGACTTTTAGACGCTTCTCCTTTATGCCGGCATCCGCATGCTCTGCCGCTAGCTCTCTGCCCATGCCCATGGGTAGCTTAAGCTGTTGTTCGCCATGGAGCGGATTGTTGTTGTTGTTTAGGATTGTGTCATCGGATGCTGGCATGGACACTCGATGATGAGCTGCCATCTCTGGCGGTGCCTCCTGTTCCATGGGCTGTTCCTGTTGGGCAGCCGGCACCGGCGCCGGCGCCTGTGCAACCGCATCGGCCGCCGCCTGCGGCTCATCGAAAATGTCGCCCAGTTCGGCGATGATCTTCTGCTGGAGGCGCTGGCGATCGCCCATAAAGTGAGGATCTTCGTCGCGCGGCGCATGCGCGGCCAGCGGTGGGGCCGGGATAAAGATCTCGGGACCGGCCTTCTGGAAGTGCTTGTAGACGCGCAGCACGCGCTCGCTGCCAAAGTTGTCTGGCAGCAGGAAAATGCCGCCAAAGCAGAGGAAGCACAGCGTAGCTAGCACGAGTCCAATCAGACATTTCTCGCGCGAGTGGAAGTTGGATTTGCGTCCAATTGGGCCAATTCGATACATTTTCGCCTTTGGTATTGTTGTATGTAGTTGTTTGGTGTGTTTGTAGCTGCGTCCCAGCTGTTTGACCGCACAACCGTAATGCCGGCTTTAAAACACATTCACGCACATAAGCACCGAGACACACACACACGCATACACACAATGACGCAGGCGCAGGCAGAACTTTTTAATGCTGCAGCTGCATTTTTTTTGTTATTGTTCTCGTTTTTACTCTTTTTTGTATTACTTGGCTATTTTTGGCAAATCATATGACACGTAAGCGCAGGCGGAAAACTACTAAATACAATCCAAAAAAAATTACTAGCAACAAAATCGAAGCGCAGCGCCGTCGCTTACAAACTGCGACGACGGCGTGGCGAATTACTATGCGAGCGAAAGAGATAGAGAGAGCGAGCGAGGTTTGCTAGCAGAGACGCACGCAATTTATAATCAGCAACAGCAACAATATTAGCGGCTCTAGTTATTACAGAATACCGTTAACGCGAATGTACCGTACGGAGAGCGCCAAAGATGCGAAAAGTTTCCCCCAAGCGAAGGGGCGTGTGACAAATGTTACAGCTGTGCGAATATGAATGCGAATGCGAATGCGAATGAGGGTGGCTGCTGCCTCTGCTGCTAAAACTGTCTGGACGTAGACTGAGGCGTACCCGCCGCTGCTAGCGCCGTCGTCGCCGTCGCCAGCGCTAGCGTTGACGTCTGCTTTGATTTTTTTTTTTTTTTGCAACTGACTTTTGTTGCTGTTGTTTTTGTCGCCGTAGTTATTGTTGCTGTGTCAGCAGCACTTTCTATTTGACAACAGCACAAAAAGACAGGCACAGATTTTGTTATAACCTGGCACTTATGATTTGTTGTTTACAACAATTTAAACACATATACAAACACACACACAGGCACACAAGCCAATTAAATAAACAACGCGTCTTTGTCTTATATTACTATTAAACTCGCACAATATTTAATTTAATATACATTAGATCACAGTCGGAACAGCAGCATAACACGAACGGGAGCGGCAGAGCGTTTAAAATGTTTCCATTCCTTTCACGAATATTTATTGTATTTTGTTTTATACTTGCATTTCGCATATTTTTGTTGTCACGGCGTTGCCAGATTTTATAATTTCTATCTGGCCATTAAGACGCTGTCTAGCACTGTTTTTTTTTGTCACGCGTTTCTCGCAACATGCATTCGGTAGCCTCTTAAGTTAGTGACGCCACCAAGCACTCTCACAAGTTTACAGTTTCTTAGCCCAACTTAAAAACTTTTAAATTTGAATTTCAATCTTTATAAAAAGTAACAAATAATTATGTTCAAATTAATGAAGAGTTTTGGATACTTTTCCATGAGCAGACACTTTACTATATGCCTAGTTTCATAATGGATGATATTAACAGTTAGTTTTAACGAAAAGCCTGAATACAACCTTCATTTCGGCCAATTCAACCATTTTACTCGAATGTTAACGCGCCGTTTTTCGTAAATTGCTTATCGATAGCTCATCTATCGATAGACAAAATGTAGGTTTCAGTTTTTGTTTTGCTTTGAGCTGACGTTTCGCATAGTTTGTCAATCCCCCAGCTGCGATCATGGAAAAGTGGCTAAGTGAAACCTTATCCAAGTGCCTGGACTGTGTGGTCACGGATCAAATGATGTCGTGAGTGTGCCTAGATGTTATCCGAGTGCATTTTTGTTTTAAACTTAAATCAAATCTGTCCGTTCTCATACCATTACCAGCACCATTTTGGCGATCAGAGATGACCAGGAGTTCGACAACTACTTCGGCAATCTGCTGAGCGAGGACATCGAGGAGCATCGCCTGTTTCTACACAACTGCCGCCGCATGCTGCTCAGCGGCAAGCAACCACGCAGCAATGCCAAAAACAAGTCGCCCGTTACCACAAATGCTCCACCCGTCCAACGGCCCGGTGGCGGGGCGGCCAAGAAGCAGGGTAAATTTGTGAGCATGTATGCTGGCGATGGTAAACTCATGGGCGACACCATTCTGCTGAAGGGGCGACGCAGCTGCGACTGTCAGGCGGCGGAGCACACGCTTATCAACAATTGCCTGGGCTGCGGGCGCATTGTGTGCGAACAGGAGGGCAGCGGGCCGTGCCTCTACTGCGGTGAGCCGGTTTATACCACCGAGGAGGAACAGCAAATGGCGAAGTCCGCAGCGACCACGCGTGCCAATACCAAGGGCCAGGCCAAGGCGCTGAAGAAGCAGCAGCCAAATGCAGCGGCCGGCAAGTCCAATAAGGAAGCCTCGCTGCAACAGGCGCTGGCACAGCGCGATCGTCTGCTGGAGTACGACCGGAACAGCGAGAAACGCACGACAGTCATTGATGATGAGCTGGACTACTTCCAGGAGAACTCCGTTTGGTTGACCGATGCCGAACGCGAGAAGTACGAACAGCTGAAGAGCGAGATGCACGAACTGAAGCACGGCAGCCGGCTGAAGCGCAAGATCAAGGTGGACTTTGCTGGACGGGAGCTGCCCGACGAATCGCTGGTCAGCAAGGAGTACGAGCAGCAGGTGCTGCGCCAGCTGGCTGCTGTTAGCAAGGCTGCAGCCATAGACCAGGGCAGCTCGCTGACCGGTCATTCCGCGCTTGCGCTGGCGCCCAATCTGGGTGTGGCCAAGCCACCCGTGTTCAAGGCGAGCAAGGAGCAGAAAGCGTGGCCCGCACAACCTGCCAATGACGGGCTTGAGCGCGTCTACAATCGGGTGCAGGATAAGGAGCTGCTCGAAATGCAGGACATGCGCCAGTGCCTGTCTATGCACCAGCCCTGGGCATCTCTCCTGGTGGGAGGCATTAAAAAGTATGCACTTCGGCGGATTACGCCAAATGTGATCAAAGCTTTTAATAATGTTTGTAATCCTTTTACTTTTATCCAGGCACGAAGGCCGCGTATGGTACAGCGAGCATCGCGGTCGCCTGTGGATTGCCTCCACCGCCAAGGAGCCGCATGCCGATGACATTGCCCAAATGGAGCAGTTTTATCGTGTGCTCTACAATGGTGAGTTCGCCAAGCAGGCAGAGATCAATATCGTTGGTAACGTTTGCCATTTTCAGATGACAATCTAAAGTTCCCATCGCACTATCCCACAAGCAGTCTGTTGGGCTGTGTGAATGTGGAAAGCTGTTTGCCCCAGGAGGAATACCGTGAACTCTATCCCCAGGGCGAATCCGACAGTCCCTATGTGTTTGTGTGCAGTAAACCGGAACAGTTGCCACTGTTGCTGCCAGTGCAGGGCGAGCACAAGATCTGTAAGTATTCCACACAGGATAACGCTAACAAAACCCAAACCTCTTCCGCTTTCCAGATGAGCTGCCGCTTAAGACGCACAACGCCGCCTGCAAAACAATGCTGCGTGCACGCGCCGCCAAAGGTTGAAATTCAAAAATTAATTACATGGAATCCTGTTAACATTTTACATTCTAAGGAAACTGTTTTGTAAAAACTTTTTAAGCATTTCAATTTAAAGTTTCAAAAATCGCATTGCCGTTATTATCGCTTGGGCTGGGTTAAAATATCGATAACATTTTGCATTCAAGGTATTCCAGCTGAAAGATAAACAGATCGAACGCTCGAATTTAAGAGCTTGTAGATAAAAATGATGTAAGAATTAATCTGCCATGCGTTTACAATCAAAATTCTTATTTCGGAAATTTTACTTGTTTTTAAAAAAAACTCATAAAATTGTTATTGCAAAATAATAATTTTTAAAATATCTTTTTTTTATACAAATGAGAATTTGTAGCACTCTCATTAGCGTTCAGTACAAATAGGAAAAAGTCGTTTATCATTAGAGTGAACCCTCTATTTTGCGAAATTTACAGTATTGTGTTTACAGCAATTCGTTTTATACAAATAATCAGCTGGCGGAATACCCCTAATATTTAGTTTGTTGTGCTTCACATATGTTTGGTGCATTTATGCAATGGTCAATGTGGACGTAGAATACTGGTTAGCTCAGGATCAGCTGCCTTATGTGGCCTGTGTGTGTAGTTAATCCATGCTTTTCCACATTTTCACAGCGGAGCCTGTAACTTTTCGCTGCAGTGCCAGCTGCTGCGGCAGTTTCTGGTGGATGCGGCGCCGGGCGTGCAGGTGTCCTGCCGTCAGGGACGACGCGGCTCCTTTGAGGTGACCATAGACGATCAGCTGGTGCACTCCAAGCTGGCCAGCTTGGCCTTTCCGCAGCATCAGAGCGTGCTCGACCAGGTGCAGCGGGCGGAGCGCGGCGAGCCCCTCGAATCAGTGCAGGCGGCGCCCATCAAGGATTGTACAGTCATGTAGCTCGGGAAGAATGCGGAGCAAATGAGTTTTTAGAGACAAATATATTTATTTTATATTAAAAAAGAAAAAAAAACAGCTAAAGGACAACACAATAAAGTGGGCTTAGCGCCTATAGCGATAGCGTTTGAAGTGGAACCAAAGCTGAAAGATGTTGTTGTGGAACTGGCAACGGAAACCGCGCTTGTAGCTGAACTCCCACTCGCGGTTGACGATCTTGAAGGCGATGTCTTCGTAGGGTGGACCCGTGTGGAAGCGGAGCACCGCAAAGTCAGCATTGTCCGCACAGGGGGTGAGAAAGTATTGCGGCGTCTGCGATTTGTCCATGAGATCCGGATAGAATATGTTAAACTTGTAGCCCTGCACAATCTTTGGCGGCGGATTGTCCATGTCGTAATGCGTCTGATTGTATTTGTTCCACTCAAAGCCCGTGTGCACGCGATTAAAGTAGCGCGGCTTGCGCGGCCGATACTTATCGGTGGCCAGCTGAGGCACTGCATCCAGTGTGGTCTCCACACTGAACTCAGCCTCGTCGCCCTGCATGCCCTTGCGCGCCTCGCCGCGCATGCGCAGCTCTTGAGGCGTCAGCATTGCCAGGTCTACGCGTTCCGGATGCACGAACAGCAAACGCTGGCGCTGCACGCGCCGCTCATCATCGCTGTCCGCGTACAGGCCGCCATCGATGTTGTCCTCATCGGCGGCGGTCAGACGGCGACCGCTGAAATCCTCCTCGCGTATATAGGTGGGACTATAGTTGAGCTGTTTGTAAATTTGGCACGAGTTCTCCAGCTCCCTTAGCGGGCTATCAAAGTTGTGCTCGTCCGCCTCTGACGTCTCCTGTTGCTGTCCAGCCTCCTCCTCGTGCTCCTCCTGCTCCTCTTGGTCCGACTCTTGCTTTATAGACAGCGAGGCAGATGGTGAGACGATCTCAACGACATTTGGTGGATCGTTGTCACGCTTCAAAAGCTGCAGCTTCTCGCGCAGCAGTGCCTGGTGACAATCCCGCAGACGGGCACGTGCCATGTGCGCCTTCAGCTGCGAGAGTAGGCTCTCCCAGTAGCTAATGTCAACGCCATCGGCACGACCGCTTATCTTGGCCTCGATGCGGGCGCGCATCTCCTCCAGCTGTTTGGCGTTCTTGCCGCGAAAGATGTCCGCCACATCCTTGACAACGCTCTGGTGTATGCCATCGCGACGCTGGTTCAGCGAATTCGCCTCGCTCTGCTGAATCTTGTGCTGCTTCTGTAGCTCATCCTGCACAATGGTGACCATATCGTTCCAGAAGTCCATGTGCTTGCCCTGCTCCAGCTCCTCGTACACCTTGATGTCGACCAGCAGATCCTCCAGTTCGTCTATGTTCAGGCCGTGCAGCAGCATGTATGGCTCGTGCATTTGCATCTCCAGGGCATCCTCCAGTTCAGCCTCTGTGTTGGTAGCGGATACGTACTGGGCAAGCAGATCGATTGGTTTGGCACGTCCGTCGCGTATGCGAATCTCGCTGCGCAGACGCGCCTGCTCCAGATGGAACTGGTCCTCATGACGCTGCCACTCGCGGAATTGAACCGCTTCCTTGGCACGCTGCTGTTGCATGGCGTCGTCCTCGCGCGATTGCCGCTCCAATTCGCGCTCTTGACGCAGCTTTTTGACCTTCTCCAGTTCGCGACGATTCTCCAGTTGCTTCTGCAGCGACAGCACTTCGACCGTCTTGCTGGATAGATTGGACAGACCCTCGACCTCGAGTTTCTTGCCCCAGTGGAAGGTGGAGGTCAGATTGGAGTCGCCGAATGGGTTGTCCTCGTTGGAGTACGTTTGGTACTCGTTATCCCAGCCCATGCGCTGGCGTCGCCGCTGCTCTTTGGCCTGCTTTTCGCGCAGGCGACGTGCACGCTTCTCCTCGGGCGTCTCCTTGGCCTTCAGCTCCTCCTTTAAACGCTGGCGTTCCTGCTGTTCCCGCAAGCGGCGCTCCTCCAGCGTTTGTAGCAGCTTTATTGAATTCATTTCGGGACTGCGCTTACCTACTGCTCTTTCGCCTGCAGCGCGATCCCGTCGCTTAGACGCTGACGAGGACGACGAAGCTGATGTGGACGTGGATGAGCTTGATGATGAGGAAGACCGTGTCCGATGCTCTTTGCGTCGTGGCTGCTTCTGCTCTTTGTGCCTCCTACTGCTTCGATCACGGCTTCTGCTGCGGTGCTCTCTCCGCTTGTGGTGATTTCTATCTCGTTCTTGTTCCCGTTCCTTCTCCCGCCCACGTTCGAGCTCACTTGTGGATCTGTCCCGATGCTTGTCGTGGCTACGTTTGTGCTTGTGCTTAGAACTGTGAGTCCGTGAGCTTTTCCTGTCCTTGCTACGACTGCGACTGCGACTGCGACGTCGCGATTTTTCCTTGGGCATATTTAGGTACCGAAATGTTAAACGTTTGTAATAAACCACAAAAAAAGCGACGCTAATTGTGTTTAGATTGCGGTGGTCCTTGTGATGGCAAGATGGCAAGAGAGCAGCAGCTGCTTCTTATCGATACTATCGATTACACTATGCAAGCATATAATGTGTATATTAACCAACACTCACGATTGAGCGGCAAAAACTATATTAATATTCAAAATATGCATAAAGTTGGTATCGTGACGCTATAAATTAACGCAAATTAAAAACCAATGGGAGACTGCTTATGAGGAGCCTTCCCCCTCAGTAATATAAAAATAACTTTCGGCACATTTACACTTGCAGTTGTTTTTTGTTTTTAAAACTTCATAGTGACGACCTCTAATGCACAAACATGTGGCAATGTTGTAATGTATCGATGTGTAATATATCGATATGTATATGTGATATCGGAGTCGTGTGACATCTTATTGATAAATAATTACCGGTTGCTTTTCAAGTTGTGGCCGGCCATAAATACCGCTGAAGCTATTAACAAATGCGCAATAATGAGCGAGTACACGGCGGAGTTCAGTGCTGCAGAGCAGGCGCTGATCGATAAAGAGTTTTCCAGACTTGCGGGTAAGTGGTGAAATAGGAACCAATGCAACTGATAAGAATCTAATTGAGATCTACGTCATGCACTCAACCAGATAGCACCTATCTCGACCATGCAGGCACAACCCTCTATGCCGAAAGCCAAGTGTCAGCTGCAGCCCAACAGCTGCAACGCGATGTTATTTGCAATCCGCACACCTGCCGCGCCACCGGCGACTATGTGGATCAGGTGCGCTACAGGTAAGGCTATTGTTAAAGGGCATACGATATATTAACCTAATGATGATGCATGATGCAGAATCTTGGAGTTCTTCAATACGAGCGCAGACGACTATCACGTAGTTTTCACGGCGAATGCGACGGCTGCACTGCGTCTGGTGGCCGAACATTTTGACTTTGGCAAAGATGGAAACTTTCACTACTGCCAGGAGAATCATACCTCGGTGCTGGGCATGCGTCAGCTGGTAAAGGCCAAGCGCATCTATGTACTAAACAAAGACAGCATTGTGCTTAACGATGTGGAGCAGCCAGTTGCTCCAGCTGCAGCGACTGGGTCAGCACATGGCAACTCGCTGGTCGTATTCTCGGCTCAGTGCAATTTCAGTGGCTACAAGCTGCCGCTGACCGTTATCGAAAAGATACAGAGTCGTGGCATGCAGCAGCTGGGCAAGTGCATCTGGACAGAACCGGCAGGAGAACGCGTGAATAACACGAACAACAACAATTATTATGTGTGCCTGGATGCCGCCTCCTTTGCCGCCAGCAGCCCGCTCGACTTGCAACGCCATCGGCCGGACTTTGTGTGCCTTAGCTTCTACAAGATCTTTGGCTATCCGACGGGCGTGGGCGCCCTGTTGGTAAGTCAGCGCGGTGCGGATGTGCTGCGCAAGCGTTATTATGGCGGCGGCACCATCAACTACGCCTATCCACACACCATGGAGCATCAGTTGCGCAGCCAATTTCACGAACGTTTCGAAGATGGAACGCTACCCTTTCTGTCCATTGTGGAGCTGCTGCAGGGCTTTCGTACGCTGGAACGCCTGGTGCCCGGCCGCAGTATGGAGCGCATTTCAAGGCATGTGCAGGGCTTGGCGCGCTACTGTGAGCAGCAGCTGAAGCAGCTGCAGCATCCCAACGGCGCACCGCTCGTTACGCTCTACAACCATGCCGGCTATGGTGATCGCACCAAGCAGGGCGGCATTGTGGCCTTCAACGTGCGCACCGACGCTGGCGATTATGTGGGCTTCGGTGAGGTGGCCTGCGTGGCTGCACTGCATCGTATACTGTTGCGCACGGGCTGCTTCTGCAACTTGGGCGCCTGCCAGCACTTTTTGCAACTGAATGAGGATACAATGGATGCCATTTATAAGCGCGCCGGCCGTATCTGCGGCGATTACTATGATCTGCTGGATGGACAGCCGACGGGTGCGGTACGCGTCTCCTTTGGCTACATGACGCGTCCCCAAGATGTTGAGCGCTTGTTGCAGATGCTGCGCGCCAGCTATATACACAGCAAGCCGCAGCAGCGTTTCAGCTTCATTGAGCAGCAGGCGGAGCTACTACCCAAGGTGCTGCAGCAGCGGGCACAGCGCTTGCGGCCACGCTTGCTGCAGTTGGCCATCTACCCGGTCAAGTCATGTGCCGCTTTCAAGATCGAGCGGGACGCCGTTTGTTGGCCCTTAACTGATCAGGGACTGCAATACGATCGCGAGTGGATGATTGTGGACATTAATGGCATGGCGCTAACCCAAAAACGCTGCACGGATCTCTGCCTGATACAGCCACGCGTCGTTAGGGATCAACTGGAGCTGCACTTCTGTGGCGCGGATACCGAGTCCTTTTGCTCCGTGCCCCTCTCGCTGAACGTTCAGGCCATCAACTCGGCACGCTGTCGCAGCAAGGTCTGCCGTCAGCCCATTGAAGGTTACGATTGCGGTGATGAGGTGGCCACTTGGCTAAGCCGGCAGCTCGGCCTGGAGGGGCTTCGCCTGCTGCGACAATCGGCGCAGCGCAGCGCACCGGGCTCACAGCAGCAGCAGCTCAGTTTGGTCAATCAAGCTCAGTTTCTGCTCGTCAATCGCGCCTCGGTGCGTTCGCTGCAGTTCGAGGAGGCGCTGGACGAGACTGTCGATCGATTCCGTGCTAACATTGTCATTGACACGGGCATGCCCTTCGAAGAGCTGGCGTATGCGCAGCTGCGCATTGGCGATGTCCTCTTCCAGGTGGATGGCCCCTGTCAGCGCTGTGACATGATCTGCATCAATCAGCGCACCGGCGAGCGTTCTCCCGAGACGCTCACGACCATTGCCCGCATGCAGAGCGGCAAGATGAGGTTCGGCATCTACATCTCGCGTGTACCCAGTGAATCGGATGATAAACAGAAGGAGCAATTGGCCTGTGGAGATGCCATTGTTGTTAGTTAGCCATTTGAATTTGTTAGTTATTTGAAATATGCATCATATACATACATTCCAAAAGATATGTTTAAGTACAAAAGCAATTGTATACAGTCTGTTAGCTTGCCAGCATTATATAACTATAAGTTGTACTGAAATGTGGATATTTTATCGCTAGGAAATGTATGTTGTTTACATTTGGATTGTTTACTTTGATATATATTAGAATTTTTCATGAAAACTGTCTGGTGTTATTCGAGTCCTAATATAAATAATCTCAACAAGTCGGGTCGCCGCGACTTGTATAAACTTGTGTAATACAAGCCATTTCTCTGTCGCACACTGTTTATTTCTCTTTCTTTGAAAAGTTTATTTGCTTTCTCCCTCCTTTTCTCTCTCTCGCCTGGTCTTTCTGTCTCTATTTCTATCAATCTCCGCACTCACTCTCAATCGCGCCCTTTCACTTACTCGCTCTCGTCTGTGATTTTATTTATTTCGATAGAGAATTCGAAAACTTCGATACTTATCGATTCGCTGTCTGTTAAAACACGGAATTAAAATATTAATAGCTTTACAGGGAAGTTACATTAAAGAAGTAAAGTCTATTAAATTACAAACATATTCCAGGCTAATAACATAAACATATTAATGAGAGCTTAAAAAATCTTCAATATTCGTTAAAAATTAAATGGAATTGAAATTATTCAAAAAGCGCGCTATTTAGCACTGATATATGTATCGACACCTATCGATAAACGGTGCCTGTGGGATGCCTGGCAGCGACAACAGCAGCGGCTTGGCGTCGTGAATGTAAATGTCAATAAGGTGCCGTTAGTACACAAACGGAGCTGCTGGGAAACGGACGAGAACAGCAAACAGACGGAAGCGGGCACACACACACACACACACACACACACACACATAAACGCACGCACACAGTGTGGAGGCAAAATGGTGTGAGAAGGAGAGCCCAAGAAAGTATGCAACACAAAGGACTGTGCATAACGGGCCGCCCAGCAAATTATTCGTCCGTTAATTGTGGCAACAACAAATTGAAGGGCAACAATAACAGCGACAACGCGCAAGCAGTTGAAATGTAAAGCATCTGAGTTAAGTGTTGTCTATGTGCACATACATACATATGTAAATACACATGCATATATGCACATATGCCAAAATGCGTAGTTCATGTTTGACAACGCTTTTGCAATAACAACACCAACAAAAACAACTAAACTAACGGCGGCTAGCAGAGCAACAGCAACATATGTATGTATATGCATACATATATGTATTTGCATGTGTGCGCCTCCGTGTGTGTGTGTGCGTAGTACAACTTTATAGCACAGCTAAAAGAATAACATGAAGTCTTGGAAGAATTCAAATACAACGAACATAAATTTTTATACAATTTAATTTTCTGCATAATAAACTTAATATATTAATATAACCATAAAGACAACTTATATATATATATATTAACATATAAATATATATATACATAAAAAAAAACAACAGCAGCTGGGACAACGAAAGAACGCAATTGAGAGAGTGTACCAAAAGAGCGGAAAAGACAGAGAGAGCGAGGGAGAGAGAGAGAGAAGGAGAACGCATATCGCAGGGCGAATGATAAAGCGAGAAGAAAAACTAACAACGACGACGCATAAACAAAACTGAAACTGAAAATATTTGCCCAAAGAATAACACAAATACAGCCATACACATATATTTCAGAAAGTGAAGAGCAAAAGCAACAAAAACAGCAGCAACCAGCAGCAGCAGCGGCAGCAGCAGCAGCAGCGGCAGCGGCAGTCGGGAGCCTGCTTCACAGCGAGGCACGTACCACGACCGTCCAAAAATGAATATGCTACACAGTTTCAGCGGCGGTGGCGCCTCCAATGCCAACAGCGATGCCACCAGCGGTGAGTGAGAAAAAGCAAAAGTTTTTCAGGTTTTTCCCGTGCGTCCCAAGCCGCAACAGCAGAAAGAACAACAACAATGACAACAAGAGAGATAGCTATGGCAATTACATATGTATGTATAATGCGTAGCTTAGTAGTATGTATGTCTGTGTATGTCTATACAAAACGAGAAACTTATATATGTGTTTGTATGTGTGTATGTGTGCGTGCGTGTCTGTGCGTGCTCCCCATGATTAGAAAGCGTCGCAGCTGTAGGTGAGAAAACGAAATAATTTTACGTTCTGCAAGACAAATGCAGAGTTTATCGAAACTTTCAGAACAGAACTTTTGTAATTCTTGTCGGCTGTGTGTGTGTGTATGCGTGTGCTTGTATGTATACGCGTGTGTATGTATATGTGATGGCATGATATGTAGAGTCAGGGCTCGGAACTTCAATTCCCATGCCGTATTGATACTGGGCGGGTTTTTGTGTAGCATACTTTTGTGGGCCCGGGATAAAGTAACTACACATTGATTGAATTAACAGATTATTGATACGCCAACGGAATACATAAATTAATTAATATCATTGAAATGTAAATAGTTTCTTTATAAAGAGCTTGGCGTTTTTTTTTTTAATATAGCTCTTGCGCCTGTATCTGAAATTTCCTCATAACTTGCAAGGCGAGAGTTTCGCGGCATTTTTTCACCATGTAGAAAACATGCTTGAAACTTAAATATTACTATTGCCGCTTAATGTTTAATTTCTTACTGTTGTAAATATATTACCATGCTTAGTTATTTTTATTAAACGAATAGTCAGGCTGGGGCCACGACGACCCTAAAAAGGTCTTTTGTACCATCAGCTCCCTGCGAGAACAAAAGCAACTCCATTTGGCTAATGAGGGTGAGCAGGTCTTTTGTCGAGGCAGTCCTAATCCGGGCAGACTCATTACCACTGATTACTGTCTCCACTTCCAGAACAAAGCTGGACATTCACAAAAAATGTGTTTGTACTTCTTACTACTTAATGTCTCCCAGTTGGAATCACATAGAGTGACAGTAAGAACATGTACCTGAAGCACCGAATTATCTTTATTATCGTAAATGCGCTCACATTTGTTATTTCCATACGGACAGCTAATTAAAGAATGCTATAAAAGTGACACGGAGTACGCGGCTTTCGAATTTTACCTGTTCGTTGTTTTCTCAATTCCTTTAATAAGATCCCAATTAATGTTTAATAAGTTGGGCTAGACGTGTACTCTTGGGCTTCACTTTATAAGTAGCCTTAGCTTCTCTTAAGGGCAGCATAATAATGACATACTAAGTGCTCGTTAATCCGCTTACTTGTTTGTGTGCCCGCATTTACCTGCCAGTTATGGGAGCCTGCGATCCGCTGCTTAGTCGGGCTCGCAATTCCAAATGCAAATTGGCCACTAATTGGCATCGAGTGCTTAAATGCACTTTGAAGAGGATGCTTTATCTGACAAGCCGTGTACGCGCACGTGCGCCCGCACCGACGCCCAACCCCCATTACCCGTGCCGCTTATTGTGGCGGCCAATTAAATAACGCACCTGACGTTTAGTTCGCTGCAGCGTCAAAGTAAAAAGCAAAAGTTCAGGGCCACGCGCACAAATTTGCATTCATCACTTCCACGAACTGGCGTGTTGTGGCGCGTGGCCTGTTGAACGCAGCTCCGCACTGTCTGTGCGGCCGTCCGTCCGTCCGTCCATCCGTCCGTCCGGCTGTCCCTGCCAGTCTGAGGATTAACTGCGTTGCCTTTGTCGCGCTAATTGAGTAAATATCGGTTTTTAATGATTGGTTCGCCGACCAGCACTTACATTTGCGCTGCTCGCCTGTTTACGTTCAGATTATTAAAAGAAAACACCAGCTGAAAAAAGCCGCCTTCGACCAGACCAAATGTTTCATATTCAATGCCAAGAGTTTTACTTGCGTGTACAACAAAAAAATCACAGAAGTTATTTAAAATGTCGCTTAAACACATGACAAATTCAGTTTTACGTCGATTTTTAAGAGTGTGCATAAGGAGCATTAAATAAAAATCTCCTCCCTCCTCTGCTGACTTTCTGTCGAGAAAAAATACGTAACGAAACAAGGAAATACTAAAAGAATATTTAAAAAAAAAAACTAAGGTTAAAGTTAATTTTTCTTTTTTGAAAATGGTTTGAAAAGATTTAAGATTTAGTTTTTCTTTTGTTTTTCTACATAATGAAAAAGTCCGAGTAATATTAGCTTAGTCCTTGAATTGCCCATAAATATATTAAGTTGCCATTACTGAATCCTTCAGCCAACCTGTCTGCCCTAACCTCTGATCCTTCTCTAACAGATGGTCCTATTTAGCTACAGAATTTTAGATAGGGTTCAAGTTAGTTGGAGAAATAGTTGGAACCAGCCTGATTTGCCGGCAATGTTTCAAAGTTGCCAGTGCGATTAGCCTCCCCAGTTCCCACATGAGTGTGCTTGTGTCCGTGTGTGTGTATAATCCTGTTTCAGTTGGGTGGCAAACATATGTTTGGGTCCAGCTTCCATTTACAATATGGCGCGGTCAAATGGCATGGGGCGCCTGCAGAGCGCGGCGAGCTTGGAGCTGACAGCAAATTAAAGGAACACGAGCAAAGGCAAGGCACAATCCTCATGTTTGTCATCCCTCCTCACGTTGCATTCTCCGTCTCCCTCTGCCACTGCCTCTGCCTCTCGCTCTATTTCTCGCTGTGCCTTACGTTGTCCTGCTCTCACGCCTCGCATACTGCGCTGCGTGTTAGTCGTCGTCTCGCTCGCACCCAGGCATGCTTTTTGTGTTTGCCTGTCATCAGCTGTTTTATGTTGTTCAGGGTCAAGAGTGTGCGTCGCAGGTGTAGCTAACAGCACGCACCCACATCCAGTCTCACCCCTACACAGACCCAACCCCCTCCCCTCCTCCAACCCTCCACCCCTCTGTCCGCGGCGAGGCCAACGGTACACCCTACGCTGGGTACACACATTGTCTAGTTTACGATTCACGCAAGCTTTTCTTCGTTTTGCTTTTTCATTATTTCTTTGTTGTTGTCTCTTCCTCTTCTTCTGCTTGTTCTTGTTCTTGTCCATTTTCCCCTGTTCCATTGCCATTGGCGAGTCAAGGTTACCAGGCCCAGCCCGGCTGGCGGCTCTGCGTAGTGGCAGCCGTCTTGTTTTCTTTTTAATTGAATTGTTTAATGCATAATTCAAATGGACGCCAACTGGGCAGACCGCAGCTACTAAATCGCACTTAACTAAATACGCGCATGTCTAAAGATTCAATATTTGCCAACTCTGTTCAATCTTGTCATGGAATCGTTTCCAATTAGAATGAATCAAATACCTAGGCCTGGCTTATGGCTATAATGTTACTTATCAAACTATAATACTATACAAGGCATAATCCAGATTAAACTGATATGTTTCGACTTTTTAGATAGTTTCAAAGAGAGCTGATTCGTTATAGATTAAGCTTTGAATTGTTTGCTATTGAAATGTGATTAAAATATATGAGAAATCGTAGAAAGAAACCAAACACTAAGTTCAACCTTGCTTAAAATTCGAACCTTTATTTAAGATTCTCTAAAATAAAAGCGAATACGGTATTTACGTTGAAACTCACTTCAGTGATCAAAGCTTACCAATTCCACCCCTGTTATCGGAAAATCAGTGAAAATCAGTTTGCAGACAGACACTAGCTCTGGGTTAAATGAGCTAACACTTAAATATCTGATACTATTCTTTTGTAGATGATTTTAATATATGTATATATGATTTATACCTATATTCTAAAATCATATTTAAAGGAATCTTGTCAGATATTCGTTTGGAATCTACATGAATTGCAAAATTTCTTTGCCTAAATGTAATTCGGAAAGCTTGAAAATTAAAGTTCAAGCGTTAGTTTTGCTGTTGTAAAAACAAACGAAAAGAAACCCGCTTCAGAGTCTGGTGAAAATATTTGAGATGCGCTTAAAGATGGAATATGCCATTGGGTTGCCATGTCACGTTGCCGCTGGGCCAAATCCTTTCCATTCTATTTGCATTCTAATTAGAAGCGCGCCTTTTGGGCTCCTTTTCGTATGCCATTTGCATATTTGTGAATACATCCATGAATAGTATACATACATAAATAGATTATCGTTGGTAACAACGATTTGTTCCGGAACAAAATTGACAGTGATGGCCAAATGATTGACAGCGGTCTGGCCTCCAGTTCAAATTCAATTCGGAGGGCGGGCGGTGCGAGAATATAAAAGTGAACCTAAGCTACACATGGAGCAGCTTCTGATATGACAGTCATTGTAAGGCTTGAGGACCGGCATTGGAATAGAGTTATGCCAGACTTTAAGACTGGCTTTCTGACATTAATTTGGCCAAATCTGTGCTGGTTTTTGCAGAATGCGAGCTGAAGGAGCGCCTGATTGCGAGCGTTAAGAAGGAGGTGAAGCAACTGATGGAGGAGGCGGTCACCAAGAAGTATGTGCACGAGGAGAGCAGCTCGGTGACATCGCTTTGTGCCGCTGTCGAAGCCTGCCTCAGCCACGGCCTGCGTCGTCGCGCCCTGGGCCTGTTCAAGACCTCATCGACGACAGCGCTAATACAGAAGATAGCAAAGATCTGCCCGGAGGCGGACTATGTGAGCCGTCGTCTGTTGGAGCTAGAGCTGGCCCAGGAGAGCCATGCTGTTAGCGGCAAGCGCTCCTCCTCCAGCAGTGACAGCATCATCAAGCCGAAGCTGCTCAGCAAGGGTAGCGGCAGCAGCAGCTCGGTGACCACCATAAATACGGTTGTCGCCTCGGTGGGTGCCAATGGTGCGGCGGCGCCGCTGGGCAAATATCTGTGGATACGCCTGGCGCTCTACGAGAAACGTTTGGCCAAGATTATTGAGCATCTGGTGGGCAATGCTCAGAGCTATTACGATCGCGAGGCGCTGGTCGCTGATCCCGATTATGGTTCCATACTCAGCTCCCTGCTGGTGGGCCCCTGTGCTCTGGAGTTTACGCGGGCCAAGACTGCCGACCACTACTGGTCCGATCCCTGCGCCGATGAGCTGGTAATCCCGAAAGCACTTGCATCAATATATAACTGCCTAAGCTCTTCGCTTTTTCGATCTGCTTGCAGGTGCAGCGCCATCGCATCAGTTCGGGCAATCGGACGCCACCCACCTGTCATCGGCCCATTATCAATTTCAAGCGCAGCCTGCACACCAGCTCGGAGGACACGAGCAGCGGCAGCTTCAAGGCCTGCTCGCCGGCGAGCGTGGCGAAGGACTATGTGGAGTCGCTGCATCAAAATTCACGGACCACCCTACTCTATGGCAAGAACAATGTGCTTGTGCTGCCCAAAGATGTGGCTGAACCGATGCCGGGCTACCTCAGTCTGCACCAGAGCATCCAGTCCCTGACCATCAAATGGACGCCCAATCAATTGATGAACGGCTACAACGATGGCGATGGCAGCGACAAGAGCTTCTACTGGGGCTACGCGCTTAACATTAATGTGGACGAGATTGTCTATGTGCATTGCCATCAGAATCGTGGCGGTGACACGGGCGGCACCATTATTCTAGTTGGCCAGGATGGCGTACAACGGCCGCCCATACACTTCCCGGAGGGCGGACACCTGCAGGCGTTCCTCAGTTGCTTGGAGACGGGTCTGCTGCCACATGGCCAGCTCGATCCGCCGCTCTGGTCGCAGCGCGGCATTGGCAAGCTCTTTCCCTGGCCGAAAAGCGTGCGTCGCCATATCCTGCCCTCGGTCATGGAGTCATCCAGCGATGAGACACCCATTGACTATGTCTTTCGTGTAGTCAGCAAAAGCCAGCACGAGGAGTTCCGTAAGATCTTTCAGCGATACGAATGTATTTGTTAAATATCTCTGCTGATTCCTTCTAGTGGCTACACATCCCATACTGGAGCTTGGTCGCTCCAGTCCGCGGCGCAAGCATCTGGGCAGCTGCTCGACCACCGGCAGCAGCGATTGCTCCAGCAAGAGCTTGTCCATTGACCAGAGCAGCAACCCAGATCCGCCATTGATACAGGCCAGCCAAACGGCCAGCATTGAACTGGTCTGCTCCACAATGCGTCGCCAGATAATCTCGCGCGCCTTCTACGGCTGGCTGGCCTACTGTCGGCATTTGTCCACGGTTCGCACCCATCTCTCCGGTCTGGTCAATGGTCGCATAACCCCAGATTGTAAGTGAACGTTGGCTAATTGAAATAATCTTCCAATACATACTTCCATTCCTTCGTTTCAGTGGCCGCTGACGAGCAGGGGCTAACCAGCCAGAAATGGCAGGCAATGAATGTAGATGGCATTGTTACCGGCGAATTGGAGCTCTATCGTCTGGTCTACTTCGGTGGCGTAGAGCACGACCTGCGTAAGGAGGTGTGGCCGTATCTGCTTGGCCACTACGCGTTCGGATCGACGCCGGAGCAGCGGCAAAAGCAGGACGAGACCTGCAAACACTACTATGAGACCACAATGAGCGAGTGGCTGGCCGTGGAGGCGATCGTGCGGCAGCGTGAAAAGGAGAAAACGGCCCTGGCTGTGGCCAAGATGAGTGCGGAGCAGGCACGACTGGCAGCCAATGCAAATGCCCTCAGTACGGATGATCTGCTGTCGAATAGTGGGGGGCAGCTGGAGCTGGACAATGGTGAGCAGGCCGAGGGCGAGAACGATGTATTCGATGACAACGATTTCTCGGACATATCCGATCCGGGTGACGAATACGATGAGCAGCCGCTATTGGAGGAACAGCTGGCACAGGCACAGGAGGAGGCGGTGGAACATGAAGAGGAGTCATCGGATCCGTTGCCCGTAGCACCACAGCTAAGCGAGCAGTTACTCTTGGAGTCGCAAAACATTGATGGCATGGAACCACTGCGCTTGCAGGATAACTGTTTTGGTGACTCCGAAGCTGAGGGCGGTCTGGGCTTGGATGGCAGTGGCAATATACTTTTGCTCAGCATTAAGAGTTCACCCTCCACCAGCAGCTACGAGACGGTAGGCAACGAGTTTGCCGATCTGGCCGATGTTAAAGTCCTAGACGAGGCGGCCGCGGAGGCGGAAATAGCTGTGGATATGGACGCGGAGCCCTACGGTCAGTTAAGCAAATTTCACAGCGCCGATGACGTGCGTCACGATGAGGAGCATCCAGCAACGGCAGTCATCATTACAGAAGCCGCCTCGCTGGATGACCTCGATGTCCAATGCAATGACGACGAACCCACCGAAGAGTTCACCTCACGCAAGACCAGCCTCATGTCGCCCCTTAACGAGGACATCACTGTTGTCGCCTCACTGGATGCCCTGCAGGAGCCAAAGTCCGCCTGTGTCTCGCCCGCCAGCTCTAATGGCGGCGTCTACAGCGTCGAGCTGCTGGAACAGTTTGGCCTAAATCTGCATCGGATCGAGAAGGATGTGCAGCGTTGCGATCGAAATTATTGGTACTTTGCCAGCGAGAATCTGGACAAGCTACGCAATGTGATATCGACGTACGTGTGGGAGCACCTGGACGTGGGCTACATGCAGGGCATGTGCGATCTGGTCGCTCCCTTGCTGGTCATCTTCGATGATGAGTCGCTCAGCTACAGCTGCTTCTGCAAGCTCATGGAGCGCATGATCGAGAACTTTCCCAGCGGTGGTGCCATGGACATGCATTTCGCCAATATGCGGTATTTATCTGTCTATCTATGCTATCTTGAACGGATACTGACCTGATCTTTTCCCGCATCTCATCTCTTCCAGCTCGCTCATTCAAATACTCGACTCCGAGATGTACGACCTGATGGACTCGAATGGCGATTACACCCACTTCTACTTCTGTTACCGCTGGTTCCTTTTGGATTTTAAGCGCGAGCTCATCTATGACGATGTCTTTGCCACCTGGGAAGTCATCTGGGCAGCCAAACATATTGCCTCTGGGCATTTTGTGCTCTTCCTGGCGCTGGCGCTGCTCGAAACCTATCGCGATATCATTTTGTCCAACAGCATGGACTTTACAGATGTCATCAAGTTCTTTAATGGTATAGTCATTTATATATTTTAAACTGTTTATTTTGACCCACTGACTGACTGACTGAATGACTGATGATCAACGCTCAGCTTTTTACTTAAGTTACCTTTTGTGATGAAGTTGTAAGAAAGGGGTTTTGGGAAATTTTAATCGCTAAACGGTTGAATGCTACTTAATAATGGATTAATGGGTGTAGTTTCGGGTTCAAACTCACTTCCAAGGATCTCTATGAAAATTCATAGGAGACGTGTCCTACTTAACTTATTTTTAAAGATCTTTGTTTAAATTCATTTGATTGGTGGTTCACATCCTTCTCGAAATCTATCCCTATATGGGGTGGAAATGGGGGTCAACGATTGGTGGGTAAAGTTTCGGGTTGAAACCCATTTCCGGGGTTTTATATGAAAGACCATTTGAGACGTTTTCTTCATTCGATATTTATCAAATATTTAAGTAAAATTTAACTCTAAGACAGTACGGGTAGACTTAAACTGGTTTTGTGTATACATATTTTCATAAATACTTGTGCATATTGTTTTTAATTTCAGAAATGGCCGAGCGTCATAATGCACAGTCGATACTGCAGCTATCTCGCAGTCTCGTCCTGCAATTGCAGACAATAATTGAGAACAAATAAGTTTCACAGGGGAACACAATTTGGAGCAACTCACTCAAAATGAAACTGGAAAGAAAATGGGAATCGGAACTGGAACTGGCTATGTAGCTCACCTAGTTGCATGTGTGTGTATGTGTGTAATGTTTGAGTGTGCGTGTGTGTTTGAGTGTTGGCTTTGCTTGTGAGTGTGTGCGTGCATGCGTGTCTGTGTGTATGTGAGCGTGAGTGTAGTTGAGTGCGGTCCCAAACGTTTATAAGCTAGCACATAGTAGGCTCAACAAATCGGTTAGCTCTCGTTTCTCAGTCACTTGCAATACATAGCATCCGTACTTCCTGAAACAGTATTGGAGTTATATATATATACCATATGTAGTAGTGAGCACTTAAGTATTGCATACTAATGTAGATTCTGGTTGCAACTCAAAAAAACAGGGGAGTAGCTGCTAATAAACTATTTGGTTGAATATTTATATATATGTATATATATGTACATATATGCATATATATATATATAGAGAGAGAGAGAGAGAAGTAACTATAGCTGTAGCTGTATAAAATGCACCGTTAGGACACCGAACGCTCTTGGGGCAGTTGTTAGTTAGTTATCGATTATCGATTATCGGTTATCGTTTATCAGTTATTTACGAACATTGCGATTGTGTAGAAATGAACAAGTTTATGCCCACTTGACGGGCTGTTTTGCAATTTTTGAATAAGTGGTTGGGAATCGTTTTAGAAGCGCGTCAACTCAGCTCAGTTGTAAGCAAGAATGAAACAAAACAAAAAATACAAAAAAAAAAAAACAGAAAACTTATATAAAATAAACTTTATTAAGTCAAAGACAAATGCAAAACAAAACTAAGCCGTAAAGAAATGTAGTGACCTGAACATAAAAAGCGCTAAACATGCTGTTAACAAAAACAAAACATAAAACAAAACATATTATATTTATACTTATACAATATATACATACATAAATATATATATATATACATAAATATATATAAATATATATATATATATATATATATATATATATATATGTATATATATATAAAGCTATATACATATATATTTATATTAATACATACCTATTTAGAGGCAGTTACAATGCATATTTATACGTTTTGTATATTCAGAGATGAGAATATTGTAGTGTATATACATATATACGCATTATATATATATATATATACAGACACATACATTATACAAACATACATAAGTACCAACTGCAATGCTGTGCGGGATTTTGGGGCGGGTTTTAGACGAAGCAGCTACTGTTTCCATAATTGTTAACATAATTAGTATGTTAGGGTTTGTCATAGATCAACCAATACACACACACACACACAAAATACATACACCACGTACACGTAGTGCATAGTTATACTACATACATATATATATACATACATACATATATATTTATATAACAAGTACTAAATGTTTCAATTGTTTGCGGGGCAAGGCAATTGGTTGGTTTGGTGCTGAGCTTTGTACTTGAGAACGGGCCGCCAGTTAACATGGATCTAGCTACCCACATAAGAAACATTTTTGACTAGATCTAGAGGTAGAGGTAGAGGTAGAGAGAGGGGGGGTGGCATTGCGGCCAATGCGAATAGATAATGCAGCTCGGCCTAGTTCGAACAACTGTAGTGTATTATGAAGTGTTACGAATATATTGTTTGCTAGTTACAATAATGTATGATATATTTATATAATGATAATGACGGATCGATGGAATGCCTGTCGTAATATACAACACATAAACATATACATATTAGGTGTATGTATTTGCATGTGTATTTATATATATTGTTATAACCAAACAAAAGCAAACAAATGTTTTCAATAATCAAAACAACTTAAAATTCTTTCCGCCGATTTCGATGGAAATACTCTCAGGCATACTTATACCCTGTAGCCATTCAATTGATCAAATTGCACATAGATAAATCTTTCTGATGTGAGTCCGTTTGTAATATCTAAAAATATGACTACAACACAATGAAAAGGCGTGCTTAAAATTGTTGATATCCTACCTATGAAATTCCTTACCATAAATAGAAGAACGAAAAGAGGGTTCAAAGCGTAGCTATGCACATTTGCAACAAAGAAATATGATAAAAGGTTTAAAGGAACAAATTGCAAAACAGTTACACAGATTGACAGGGTACAGGGTATACGCTAGTCGAGCCCACGCGACTAGAGCACACACTGGTTTATTATTTTTGTTGTGCAGGCGCACCAAAAACTCCCTCCATTGGGCTTAAATAAAAGGTTTGTTGTTTACACTCATGTAGTGCATATATATATACATATAACATATATATACATAAATCCAATTAAGTAAATGCGAAACGCACGCTTTTTGTGTATAGAAACACCCTTCCCCTCAACCAAAGGACAAACAAACAAACAACAAAAAATATATAGAAAAAAAACTTAATGTGATTTCTTGTTGCTTCTTTAAATATTGATATTTTTGTAAGCGCTATGAAATTATACATAAATTGATACAATTATAATTTATATAAAATATAAAGGTCGCATAGGGCTAGGTTCGGGTAAGAGTTTGAATAATGCCTAGAATACGAGATGCAAATGATTTCAAGATTTGATAAAACTTTTGATACACATATTCGACGAGCGGAAATTGCAAAACCAACAACTCTTAGGTCTATCGCGTTATTATTTCAATATTACCTGAACTAGTTATATATATATATACATACGTAGAGAGCATTAACGAACACATGTAAACATATATATAATAAAATATATACACGCATATAAGTCAATATATACATGAATATTATGTTAAGTTTTGCAGCTAGAGCATAACCAAAGCTCTGAGCATTTACTCGTTAATACATACATATGCGCACATGCATACACACATGTGTCGACATACACATGTGCATGCATATGTGTACTCCAAAATGTACCACTACAAGCATACACTGAAAAAAAGTTAGCAAAATGCCATTATATATATCTGGGAGTGAAAATTAATATATGTATATTCATATTCACAGAAACACTGACATACATACAGACATACATTTATTTGAAAACAAAACGAACAATTGACAAATGATACAAATAAATGTGAAATATGCAAAATTGTTTACAACACCAAACAAATAAATTGTGTTAATTTCAAAGTGAAGTGTTCAATTAACTAAATACCGCAGACAAGCTGCTCGAGCTCGATTCAATAGATCCTTTGGTAAGTATAAATGGCAGAGAAGTTCAATGCCTGTTCAAAATATTCTTCACGTGATTATAGCAATATTTTTGTTGAAAAAAATCGCACTAAAATTAAATCAGAATATACAATTTTTATTTCGATAACAAGTACAACATTTTTTCCTTTTTATGGAAATTTTAGAGGAAAAGAACTCTACGAATTAAGAATCCGAATTTAAAGCTTGCAGTTCAATTAAATGCAGAGAATATATTCTTGACAAATAACAAAAATTTTAAGCCATTTCAATAATTTACGATTAATAATATACAATATTACATTCACAATGTTACATTCACAATGCTACATATACGAATATTACAATTTCCTTCTTTTATTTTTTGAAAAAATATTGGTTAAGCGCTCACATTTAATTAAAATTTCAACAGCTAACTAGAAATTTATAAAGTCCATCAGAAACATAGATTAGCACTTGAAATTTTCAAAGTTTTTTTTTGTGAAGTTCCAAGTTTTGTCCGATTTGCTTTAAACTTATTTTCAAAGCTTTACATAAGAACTTAATGAATAGGTGTTTCAGCGAGTGGGAAAATTTCACCCGCTACAGTGGTAAATTGGTGGAAAATGGTTGTATGATCTTTGAGGGAATTTATTTTAAAAGTGCCACGGGCAAAGCCGGGGGTTCCCGCTAGTATATATGAATAATATATATTTCTATTATATTATATTTTTTATATTTTTTTTACTATTTAGCTTATAAAATCATAGATATATTTTTTGTAATATTTCTTGTAAGCTTACAAAATATTTCTGTTAACAAATTTTTACACATAATGCAAATTTTAATTTTTCTTATGTTGAATATTGTATCAAAAGCTAAAAATTTTCATTTTATTATTTATTTATTTTTATAATATTTTCTAATAATATTTGAGAAATTTATGACGATAGGAAATTGTTGTTTTCTAGGAGCATTAAATTCTATGTTATATTTGCATATACAAAAAATGAGCACACCTTTTGACTGGCTTAAAATACTTCGCACAAATCCGAGAATTTTCAGGGAAACGGGGATTTGCGGTTTTATTTTACAACTAAAAAGTAGTTGGCAGCTTTCTTGCGGTAAATACACGGCAAAAACATTTTTGTGTTCTTTTGTTTGACCTATATTTATAACACACGTTTATGTTTCTTACGTTGACCTATATTTATGATATATATATTATAATTTGTACATTATGTATTATGTATAAATCCAAACTCTAACCCTTAACATACTTAACAATAGTGGATCAGTTTGCACAGGCGAGTCATCGGCTTGTTGATCTAGTAGAAAAGCGTAAACCATATATGTTTCGTAGTTTGATGATTTTGAAAACTTGAAATATTCTCCGTAAATCGATAATAGGCTAATGGGCTGATAGCTAGAATTTCGCACAGCGCTCGAAACATTCTGATGACAATTGTGGTTGGTTTTGGGGGCCAGATTGGATATTGGGCACACACGAAACCAGAGTTGGGCAGGTTAGGCATCCGGGGCCAGTGACGCCACGGCAAGCAACAGGAACAGGAGCCGGAGTAGGATCAGGGGCGCTGCGGGTTGGGGTAAGCGCAGCGCGCAAACTCGCCAAATGCGAAGCAACAGTAGCAGCAGCTGCCCAATTTGGGGCAGGAAGTGAACAGGGCCGGGACCAGAGCCGGGTAGCTTGTCCTGTTGCTTGTGGCAAGATGTGTCAAACAGCGTTCGACGTCAGCAACGCACAACATACACAAACACAAACAGAAACACACACACATACACATGCACATATAAACACACACACACAACATAAAACAATAACAGAAACGCATACAGATACCCAAAAGTATTCCACACGTGCAAGCGAGACGGCAAGGGCCAAAGGGCAGCGATTTCAAAAAGCTTCAAAGCA